ATTCATTGTTTGTGCACAACACCCAGTGCTCCATGCAGAACGTGCCCTCCTCAATACCCACCACCAGGCTAACCCATCCTCCCACCCCCCTCCCCAGCTTTTCTGTTATCAGCTCCCACCATCGTGCCTCAGAATCCTTGTAGGTCCAGCCAGACCTGGCAGTCTTAAGAACAGGCGGAGCCCTTTCCCACGTCAGGAATTTGTGTGCTTGCTTCCTCTGCCTCCAGTACTATTCCTACCCCTCTGCACCTTGACCTTGACTCACCCTTCAGATCTCAGCTCTGCTTGGCCTCCCCTGACTATTCCACTTCCCTCTCCACCCCCAGCCCCCAGCCCCAAACTAAATACGTCCTCTTGTTGTTCTCTCTCAAGGTACCCTGTTCTTCCCCTTTGTCCCTTGCTAGAATTAACAATTATATATTTATTTCTGTTTCTTCATTCGTCCATGTCCCCCACTAGACTGTAAAATCCATGAGGGAATGGAACACAGCTCTTAGATAACCATCACATCCTCGATATCTTCCACTGCGCCTGGCATCCAGTAAAGACTTAACTAACATTTGTGGAATGAATGAACCACTCAACTATGATTTAAAGAATTTAGTCAAGCTGGATATTTATGTAGAAATAACTAAAGGCTGGGGCGCCTGGGTGGCTCAGTTGGTTAAGCCACTGACTCTTGATTTTGAGTCATGTCATGATCTCAGGGTTGTGAGAAAGCAGGCTTCCTGTGTGGAGCCTGCTTAAGATTCGCTCTCTCCCTCTGCCTCTCCTCCCCTGGTGTCCCCCCCACCCATTCACGCGTGCACACATGTACGCACGCGCTCTCTCTCTAAAAAAAAAAAGAAAGAAAAGAAAAAAGAAATGACTAAAGTTTGTTGGTATTTAGAATTGAAGGACCAACGTAGTCACTTTCTTCACTGAGTGAGACTTTTTCATTCCAGTGGTGACAAAACAGTCACAGGTCTTTCAGGTGTTTACGAAGATCACCTTCCCCTCTTTGGTCGTTGCCATGGTTTAACTAGAAAACTTGATTCCAGGTTTAAAAGTATAACTGGGTGTTATCCACAAACAATGAATCATGGAACACTACATCCAAAACTAATGATGTAATGTATGGGGATTAACATAACATAATAATAAAAAAAAAAGTATGGAAGGAAATGGTCACCCATTAAATGAAAAATAAACATAAAAAAATCAAGATTAGAAATCAGCAACTTCTTATTTCAAGTTTCCCTCCCTGCTTTTGATGGGCACATTGAGCCAGTTAATTTTTTTCAAGTTTTTATTTAAATTCCAGTTGGTTAACATGGAGTGTAATATTAACCTCAGGTGTAGAATTTAGTGATTCACCACTTAATGTACAATACCCAGTTGAACCAGGTAACTTTATTTTTCAAGATTCCTCCATCTGCAATTAGGGATTATGTGCCACCATCTCACTGGTTTGTTTATTAATGAGACTAATGTCACAGGTTTTGTTGCATCTTCAGGTCGTCAAGTGGCCAAGATTTTAGGCATATTTGCAAGAGTTTTACATTTATATTAATATATCAGTCCTATGAATTGAATTAAATCACACTCTGAGTATGTTTTTGTCTGGCAAAACACCATATAGACCCTTACATTGTTATTTGCTAAGACAAAAAAACAAAAACAAACACTCCTCATTCATTTGGACCTTATAAACCCTAAATATTTGATTATTGTGTCAGGACTGTGACTGGTAAGGTAAGCACAAGTCATGGAATCTCTGAGGGCTTGTTACGCAGGATGGTTCCACCATGACCACTACTATCCCGAGGTTTTGTTTTTTTTTTTTTAAGATTTTATTTATTTGAGAGAGAGAGAATGAAAGAGAGAGCACATGAGAGGGGGGAGGGTCAGAGGGAGAAGCAGACTCCCTGCCGAGCAGGGAGCCTGATGCGGGACTCGATCCAGGGACTCCAGGATCATGACCTGAGCCGAAGGCAGTCGCTTAACCAACTGAGCCACCCAGGCGCCCTATCCCGAGTTTTTAAAAGGCAACACGGTCAAGTATTATTCTCAGTTGCAGTACAAGCCTTAGACCCAGCCAGTTCTCTCATTTATGTGTTCTGCAAGACTCCATTTAGGATAACAGCTCGGCACCTGAAGACATTTAGGTTTGCAATCCCTCGAGAGGGACCAAATGAAGTTCACGTCTACTTTTCCCTAACAAAAGGGGTTTGCTTGTAAAGAATTCAGGAACAATTGCTAAACCAATCATGAGACTAAAGAATTTTCAAGACTTCTTGAACTCTTGCATTCAAGAATTGCATCTCTATCTAATTGACATCTCTATTCGATACTGGCAAAGCTTTCTCGAATATTTATTAAAGCAAGTTCTCTGAGGAGTTATTGTAGGTATGGGACTAAGCTTAATTTGTTATTAAACTTAGAATATACATTTCCTTAAAAAATAGTGTCACTGAAATTTTCCCAGCTATTCAGATCTACTTAGTACATATTAATGACATGTTGCTGGATATTAATTCTGTACCTCTTTTTGGTACAGTGGGAAAGTATGACCTGTGGTCCACTGACCTGGGCTGGAATCCTGACTCTGTTACTTATTTGCTGTTAACCTTAAGCAAATTACTTAATTTCACTGACTTTCTATTACTCTTATCTCCTGCCTCTGGGTAAGTTGGATGCTTTTAGGTCATAAAAGTTTAGACAGCCCTCATCAGCATCCTTAGCCCAGCTTGACCAGGAACAAAGTCTCAGGGGCCCGGAGTCTTTTCCATCAGAGTTACAGAGTTAGAGAGCTTTGTTTTGTGCTCAGCAACCCATACCAGGGCACAGAAGAACCACATGGGTCATACTCAGATTTGGGCCACAAAACCAGTCCCTCCTAAGAGATCAGTAGCAGTTTTAAAGAAAGCCCTGATTTTTTTTATGACTCACTCTCCTAATTTGTTTGACTTTTGGAGGTGGAGTCATAGCAACTTACTTTTCACCTGCCTTCATCACTTTATTTATTTGGGGACAGGGAAGCAGAAGGAGAGGGAGAGAGAGAATCTTTAAAAAAAATAGATTTATTTATTTATATGAAAGAGAGAGAGCACGAGCAGGGGAGGGGCAGAGGGAGAGGGAGAGAATCTCAAGCAGACTCCCCACTGAGCGCGGAGCAGACACAAGGCTGATCTCATGACCCTGGGATCATGACTTGAGCCAAAATCAAGAGTTGGAGGCTTAACCGACTGAGCCACCCACATGCCCTGAGAGAGAGAATCTTAAGCAGGCTCCACATTCAGCATGGAGCCCAGCGGGGGACTCAGCCTCACAACCCTGAGATCATGACCTGAGCCGAAAGCAAGAGTCAGTAGCTTTACTGACTGAGCCACTCAGGCACCCCTGCCAACATCACCTTCTTATTACCACCCTCTGTCTTCTTTTTTTTTTTTTAAGATTTTTATTTATTTATTTATTTATTTGACAGAGAGAGACACAGTGAGAGAGGGAACACAAGCAGGGGGAGTGGGAGAGGGAGAAGCAGGCTTCCCGCCGAGCAGGGATCCCAATGCGGGGCTTGATCCCAGGATCCTGGGATCACGACCCGAGCCGAAGGCAGTCGCTTAACCAACTGAGCCACCCAGGCGCCCCACCCTCTGTCTTCTTAACCTCTAGTTGTCACTCAGTAAGTGACTCGTATGTCAGGTTACTGAATTCATTGGGCCCTCAGTTTCCTCATTATGTGGGAAGTGAGCAGAGGCTTTTCACACTCTTGCCCGATTCCTTTTGTCATTGAGACAAGCATTTTCAAGATACATTGGGTGAAGGACGTGTGGACAGACATCTGAGCAAAACAAATCTCTAGGAATACCAGACTCCTGAATTCAGCAAGACTGCACTTCTCTATTTTCACTACTGTGATTATTATCATTCACATTCCAGGATCATCTTGTAAGTGCAGTGACTGTTTTATGATTTAGATGTCCTTCAGTGAAATACCATGGTTCCCCTCAGTTGGAGATAAAGACTGTGTTGACATTTGGCCGAATATTTAACTCAGTAATTTCTGAGAAACTACTGTTCAAGTCAAGTAAAAAAAAAAAAAAAAAAATCAGTGTACTCAGCTCCTTGATTGCATTAACTGACTAATTCAGAGGAAAACTAGTGATGTAGAAAGGGCTATTAAGTTTGGGTTAATATATAATTCACTCTTTAAAGCAACCAATTATCATCAGGATTGGTTGATATTACTGGGTACTCACTGAGATTCATAGCAATACAATCATGCCTCCCTATGGGTATTAATCTATTAATATAATGCCATTCAGAACTGCAATTGTACTAAAACCATACTACTGCTAATAATACGATCTCTACAGACTGGCAAAGATGGAGATAGAAATCGGGTGACAATTTGCTAAGATGCTTCTTTTGGTAGATATTTGTCACAAGATGCTACTCAATAATTTTTTCTTCCCAACTAAATAGCGATAATACTCAAAATGATGCCAATACCAAGGAATTCTGGGTAAACATGCCAAATTTGATGACTCACCTAAAGAAAGTGTCGGAACAAAAGCCCCAGGCTACATATTATAATGTGGACATGCTCAAATATCAGGTAAGCCTATTCATATGGTCGGGGTGTCTCTTTCACATTATAAACGTATATTCTAACATGTCTAACATTAAAGAAAGTAAATAAAATAGCATTTCTTTTAATATAACTTAAAAGCTATAATTTTTAAGAAAATAAACTTAAAAGGCTACTTGAAGACTACAAAAATGAAGTTGCAGAAACTTCCAATAATTGAGATTATAAATATTGGTAAACTAGTTCACTGTGGTGGTAATATACCCTCCGGGTTGGAAAAACACTTATTTATATTGTTGTAAGGAAGCCACTAAAAGTAAAGTATCTACATGACGGAATATTTTACAAAAATGCAAATGAATGTTTGTCCTGTAAGCATAATATCCTCTAAGCTTTGGACATTATCAATAATACTGAACAAACATGATACCACAGAAATTCATCACCTATATAATTAAAATATAATAAAAAATGCATTTTTATTTAACTTTTTTTTCCCCAAAACATTTAAACACATTTAGTGACTGCTTTAAGCTTCTGAGAGAAATGAAAAAGAGCAAGAAAAGCAAACTCCAATAAAATGTTTCCCTGAATGAGAAATTAAATTTTGAGGCACATGCATGGTTCTTTATGCCCAGAGGGGTAAAAATAAACCTGTACTTGTTTTTTTTCACAACATTCATTACAAAGACACGTCTACATTGTCACTTCTGATTAAAAACATTTTTTTTACTCTTAAATGCTGTGGGATTTTTTTTTTTTTTTCTTTAGTCTCCATATTTGTCATTAAGTGAATCTAGGAAGTAGACCGAATTCACCTATTGCAACCTGAGGTTGGTGTAAAGTATTAAATTGTAGGCAAGAAACTGCATTCTGGAATTAAGTCAGCTTCCTACCGGCCACTGACTTTAGGCACTTAATCTCCCTGAACCTCTGTTTCCTCATCAGCAAATAAGGACAATAACAATTCCTACCTAGATATTTTGTAGGTTGTTGTGAGGAGCTAATAGCGTAATATATTTCAAAGTATTTGTAAAATGTAAGTAGCCCTAGGCCTGCCATTTTGTTTTATTTATTTATTTATTATTTATTTTAAAAAATATTTATTTGACAGAGAGACACAGTGAGAGAGGACACGCAAGCAGGGGGAGCGGGAGAGGGAGAAGCAGGCTTCCTGCGGAGCAGGGAGCCCAGTGCGGGGCTCAATCCCAGAACCCTGGGATCATGACCTGAGCAGAAGGCAGACGCTTAACGACTGAGCCACCCAGGCGCCCCGCCGTTTTGTTTTAAAGTGAGCTCTGAGGAATCCTTTTTGCTGTTGTTTATTTGTGGTGGTGGTGTTTTCCAAGATTGCAAGGAATTGGGTGGGAGGCACAGGGAGCGTTTTTGTGGGACTGCCCTCAAATCTCAGCATGTTTAGTTTCTGGCCACCAGGAGCATCCCCCAGGGCCTGGGACAATCAAAAACACACCCACACAAACCCAAAAAGCGCCATCACTGGGGAGAGGAGCCACTGTGAAGTCAAGAACTGCCACTGAGACAGAGCGCAGAAACGGGCAGGGAGGGGTCTGTCTGCTCTGCTTTTGATTTACCTTAAATAACGTATTTCCAAAGCAAAGTTCATTTGCAGAGGATTATGCTGCAAAAAACATTTAAAGTTTAAAAACGTATAATGGTAGTCTAACTAAAATTGTCATCAAAAGCCATGCCTATCATTGTATACAAGAACTCATATCTGGGCTTATTTCTGCAGCAACCACTGCTGCCTTATGAGCGCAGCCTGCCCTCAGGCCCCTTCCCCATGGTGTCCATATGTGCAGGCATTGCTAGGCCTAGAGGGAGCTGTTTACTTAAAATCAGCAAAACTCATACTCTGAATAAAACCCCAAGGGTGTAGACATCACCCACACAACCCCCGCGGTGTGAGTGTGCTGGTAAAAGAAGAATCTCCTCCAGGGTGCCTGGGTGGCTCAGTTGGTTAAGCGACTGCCTTCGGCTCAGGTCATGATCCTGGAGTCCCTGGATCGAGTCCCCGGATCGAGTCCCCGGATCGAGTCCCGCATCGGGCTCCCTGCTCGGCAGGGAGTCTGCTTCTCCCTCTGACCCTCCCCCCTCTCATGTGCTCTCTCTCATTCTCTCTGTCTCAAATAAATAAATAAAATCTTAAAAAAAAAAAGAAAAGAAGAAGAATCTCCTAAAGCTATTCGTCATCACAGTGAATAGTTGAGAAATAATAACATTACGAATTTTTCACTGTGGATCCAGAAATCAAGTTGGTATTATTGTCTTTAGGTAAGACAATGTTGTTGCTTCTGCAAACACAGCTTTTCCTTGGTCAAACTCACAGTGGATTCCAACTAGAATTGACGGGAGACGGTAGAATGTACCCCTTCCAGTTAGAGGATATGGGTTCAAGGGCTCACTTTGGCAAATCCCAAAGGAGTGACAGTAACCTGCTTCGTCTCACCCACTGGTGTGTTATGAAGCGAAAGTATGATAAGAGTATTAACAGGTAATGTGTATGAAAATGTTAATGCTTTACTAAGTGCGAGGCAGTATGCTGTTCCACATAAAATATCTTCGATCTTCCCTGACAAGCTTATGGGTAGATATCACTGTTATAATTCCCATTTGGCAGCTGAAGAAATTACTGAGACTGAGAGAGGTTTAGTGACTGGCCCAAGATCACTGAGCTTGTAAGTGGCAGTCAGAACTCACCTCCAAGACTGTCTAACTCCTTGGCCTCAGCTCCTAAGCAGTGTGCCACCACCTCCCTACCTGACCCAAGTGCACTGTACTCTCTCAAGTGCCACAGAGAGTTTAGCGACTGGTTTTGGTTTTAACCTGTAGCAATTTCCCTGCAGCACCCAGCTCCCTTTCACAGGGCACCCTGCACGGTGCTATTTGCTGAGAGAGCTCACCTGGGAGCAGCACCAACCACACGATGACATTTGACAGCTCAGAACCTTCCTATGGGAGATAATCACAACTTCTGGCTTTGCTTCAGATTAACAGTTGAGCCTTAAATATTCTCTTTCCTGTCGTCTGGCAAGGTGTCTGCCCAGGGCATTCAGTCCACACCTCTGAACCTGGCCGTGAACTGGCGGTGTGAGCCGGTCAGCACTGACCTGCGCATAGATTACAAATACAATACGGATGCAATGACAACTGCCGTAGCCCTCAACAATGTGCAGTTCCTGGTCCCCATAGATGGAGGAGTAACCAAGCTCCAGGCCGTGCTCCCACCCGCAGTCTGGTAAGGAGCCACCAGTCCCCTTTCTCTTTCCCAAACGGCTCTCTCCGGGCAAAGGCCTCACAGCCTTCTTAGCGTTTTTATTTCCTCCAGGACGACATCCCAGCAGGCCTGTGTGTCAGGGTTCAGGGCAGGAAACAGAAACCGTTCTGTTATTTTAAGCAGAGAAGGATCTAACACAGGGATTAAATGCTCACACAACAGTGGAAGTGCAAGAGGAATAAGCCTTCGACTGGATCTCCAGGAACGCGTCCCAGAGCGCCGCAGAACTGACTCGCCAGGGAAGGTGCTCCCTCGGCCACAACCAAGAAGCAGAGAAATCAGAAAGCTGCCCAGGGAGCCATTGAATTCAAGAACTCACCACTGCCACGTTGATCCAAGGATGAGAAAGTCCCTACCCGCCCGCCTTAACTGCTTCTCGGCGCTCACACGACTGGAGACTGGACTGCAGGCAGCACTTTGTGAGAAGATCCCCACGTCTCAGTTAGGCTGCTGGCTAGCAGGAAAGAACCACAAATATGGCAGGAGAAGGGCCTCTGCCCCCCTTCCATCCTCCAAATCTCAAGCAGTGCCTGTAATTGGCGGACCCTAATCTGCGTCTAGGACCCTAACTGCAGGGGCGTCTGAGAAATGCAGGGTTTTGTTTTGTAGCCTCTGGACTGTTAAAAAGGCACCACTAGAGAAGGTACGGGAACAGCCACTGAAGAGACACTGAGTACTGAGAGTAGCTGTTAAAAAGAACTAGTTCTCTTAGAAAAAGTATTCTAGTTTTTCCATGGGATTGTCAGAAGCAAAAAATAGAACATTAAAAAAAAGTCATCCATATGACAGCTAAAACCTAAGTTTCCTGAATTACGACTTACCGTCTATGATAAGTAGGTGTGTCAAAAAATTTAACTGCATTGTCCTCTATATGTTTTCCTATCTGACAGTGTTGGGGCTAGTTATAATAAGGAACAGAAAAAAGAGAATTTATGTGTGGATGGATGGATAGATAGATAGATGATAGATAGATACATAGATAATGCTTAAATTGTAGTTAACATTGTCAAGATCCATTTTTTTAAATTAACACTATCTAGAAAAAATATGGTATCCATTAAACAAAACATTTGCATACACAAAAAAGCCTTTTACCTATTTTATTTTTAGGAATGCTGAACAACAAAGAATATTGTGGAAGATTCCTGATATTTCTCAGAAGTCAGAAAATGGAGGTAATGTAATCACAGGCTTACTTTATTTAATATATAAAGCTGAAATAACTTTCAGGTTATTAGAAAACTATTAAAATATACAGCGTTAGAAGCAAGCAAAATATTTCACTTTGCTTTGGTGTATACTCATTTCAACCAATAAAAAGCAAATAATTCCTCAGTGAATCCTCTACTTCCCCTTTTCTGCCCAACCCCACATCAAACAGACCATACTTCAAAAAGAGAAGAGCTTTTAATGAGACATGTTTTCATTTTGTGTCAGATCTCCACTCCCTGGTAGTTGAGGTATTTCTCACTTTCCTCTGACTAGGAAAATAACATTGCCTTCCAAGGAACATGATTCCAAATTTTGAAGTACCATTTGGTTGAATTACACTTTCATCAGTGTGCAAAAAAAGTTCCTCATGATATTTCATCATAAATTTTATTCATCAGCATTTTGTCACTGAAACATATACTGTTTTCTAGTAAGTTAGATTTTGTATGTTAACTTTTGAATACAATTTCCAAAACTATATCCAGCATGTTGTGTTGACTGCTATCTTGTAATGATACTCTTTTTATAGGGGTGGGTTCTTTATTGGCGAGATTTCAGTTGTCTGAAGGCCCAAGCAAACCCTCCCCGTTGGTCGTGCAGTTCACAAGTGAAGGAAGCACCCTTTCTGGATGTGACATTGAACTTGTTGGAGCAGGGTATCGGTTCTCACTCATCAAGAAAAGGTTTGCTGCAGGTAAGTGGGCATCCTGTGGGTTTTCATTTGCAAAAATAGGTCGCCTTAGCTACTCTCTCAAGAAGGGATAGTGTCTGATTTGCTCATCTTCTTTCTTTTCCTCTTCTTCACTCCCAATCCCCATTTCTCATCCCAGTTAGAAAGCAAACCGATTGTAGAATGAAGCAAAAATGAGATAATAAACTGGAAGTCAGAATTAGGAAGGCCCTGGCTACTTATCTGGTTCTGTTTCTTCTGTAGGAATGACCAGTTATTCCCAGTATATACATTATATACACATATATACACTGAGGTTAATTTAATGGAGTAAATCCTACTGTTTTTATTTTGACAAACAAAATAAATGCTATGTGCCTCTGAATTTACCTCTTACCTGAAGACTTTTTTTCTCCAACAAGGCTTCATAGATTTTGTATTTGTCAGGCATAGCTGGAATCTAGAGGATCCATCTTTCACTTTAAAATAAGCAACCTTAAAGAACCTAGGCCAGGTATCAGAAGTGGTTGCCCATGAGCTGAATATGGTTCCATGAGACAGGTTTTTGGCACAACATGATAGTTTGTTGGCGAAGGAGTCTCCAACACTAGGGTGATTATACTTATCAATGACTTGTCAGGATAAGTCCTGGTTCTTATGCCCGCTGCACTCATGTAATTATTAGTTATAACCCTTCCACTCTCAAAAATGACCCAGGTTATATGGTTACTCTTCTCATAACAAGTTGGATTCCCACATCCAGAAACAAATCTCCCAGCCTATCCTAAAACCCAAACCTCTGCAAAGTGTTCATACGTGGAAATGTGAAAAGGCAACTAGCTGGTCTGGGAAATTGAAAACTTAAGAAATTGTATATATTTTATACTAATATTGCACCCCATAAGATGCACCCCATATTTGGGTTCTAGGGGTAGGGCAGATAGAATAAAAATGTTGCCCATATCATAATCACATTATGGAACTACCAGGTAACCTCCTGATGTGTTGTTTTGTTTTGCAGGAAAATACTTGGCAGATAACTAATAAAATCTTATGCAAGGATTTGGAGGATTCATATAATGGAGAACTGTTGTATGAGAAACAGGTTTTAATTTTGGTTTGATGGAAACAAACCAAAATCTGCACTTGGGACATATCTGCTGGAAATGTCCATGACTTTCAGCAATGATTTCCCTCACACAATACCATGATGACCAGTCTTAACAGTATTTACTTCTAGGTGTAATATTGTTAATGGTTTTAAAATGTAATTATTGTATTTGTAAATTGTACTCATTCCAGTAAGGCAGTTAGACACTTGAGTTTTAGCATTTTACCATTCCTAAAATGGATGTAATTTAAACTGTGGTATGTAAATTTAATAGTAGTACTGTTGAATGGCACAATGCTTACAGAGGTAGATTGCATTTTGTCAATATATAAAATTTAAATATAATATTGATAGCTGTCATAAAGGGGGTGCCACATACAAAGAAAATTAAGTGGAACCAGAAAAAAAAAAACTTCCTTTTCTTCAATCCTTAGTAGGTTTTACTCTAGTGCTAAATAAAAATTCTATCTTCAAATATTTAGTGGGTTAAATTCAGAAACTATTTCAGAAAAAAAAAGTTCTAAAGTTACAGCATATTCAAGAAGAGCATTAATTACCACTTTTTAAAAAGCTTTTTTTTCAAACTGCAAATTTCATAAAAATGCGAACTGTGTAAACAGGGCCTCTTATTTTTATAACTTGTGTAAAAAGGGAAAGCAATTCATATTTAAAGTTTAAGTATATGAAATTATAATCAAGAGTAAAGAAGATGTTGAAGTCTTAACTACTTCCCCCTCTCTCTGCAGTTTAACGAATGTGGAGATTGCTGAATAATATCAGATTAAAGCCAAAATTGTGATTCTAAAATTTCAAGACTTTCCATAGTTGAACTGCTGAACAACTTTTGCACAATTACTCTAAATAGTCTCTCCCATCTAGCATGGAGAATGGTACCACATATCTTTCTCTTTACCTGCAGGAATCAAAACATTAAGACTAAAATTCAGAATAAAAAATTAGTGCCCCGTTTAAGTCCAGAAGGAAAATTTTAATCATCATCATTTATATCGTTTGAGAAGGAAAAAAAAAAGCTTTATAAATGAAATTCAATCCACATTATTGTGCAATAAATTTCCTTTTGGATAAGATTCATGGTATGTTAACTATAAATTTTTGCCATTCTCTGAGAATCAGAGAGTTATCAAAAATTTATGTCATAATTTAATTGTCGCAAGGTATAATTAAAACTAATTACTCAGTCTGGCCTCACAATGTGACTATTCAGAACGGAGAAGCACTTCTTCTGGGGTGGGTCTTGGTTGTAAAACTCTCCTCCTCTACTATCTGAAAACATGAAACTTCCTTTAAGTCATAGACCTTCTTTTAAACATGAACCAATTCTTATTCTAAGTTATACTATTAAATAACTGGAATTCTTAAGCTGTTGTATTTATCATTAGTTGCTAAATTTTATTTTATGTTCACTTACATTTGACAAAGAATCATTAGTTCCTTTAAATTTTAGAATCAAATTAAATTTTGTAAGTCTTACTTTTAAAATGAGATTGTGACTGGCAATTGTTTATAGTGGAACTTTTTAAATTAATATTTGTACTTCTCAATCAGTGCTTGCTACCGAGAGAATGTTCAAAATGATCTGTTTTACCTCAGAAGAATTCCTACTATTCAAACACTCTCAGTTGGCTCCCCAGACAGTCTGGTGTGGAAGTTTTTTGGACAAATTATTAATATACTCATTTTAAGTAAAGATATTCAATTTGATTTTGAAACCAAAATAGAAAATGCAAACTTTTAAATCCCACAAAACATGGGGAAACATCAAACACTGAAACCAATGGAGAGTAAGCAGCAGAAAACTGAGAATTATCCAGCATACGAATATAAAAATGCGTTTTTAAGTAATCAATTCATAAGGAAAACGTATTGAGTATTAACACGAAACATATTAAAAATGTGTAAATATTACTGGTTCTTATGTCTTGCTCTTTATATTTTATTTTATATAGTTCTAGAGTGAATTAGTAATTAAACACAAGGGTTTTTTTCAAAGAATAATTTTGTTGATATTGTAAAAATATAATTTAAAACATAGACTACAATAATCTCTAACATTATTCAAACATTTCCAGGAACTAAATTTGACACTATGAAGATCTCTTATGATCCCTTAGCTGGTCTTTGTGAAACAGAATGGAGGTCATTGGCTTCATAATTATTAAACTTTCAATAACCAGAACCTCAATAGAGAAGATATCCCTTCTCCTTTCAGAAAAATAGGTCAAATAATAACACAATAAACTCATATCAGGGCTTTAGATTTTGGTAGGTTTTTTTTTTTTTAATCTTGTAGTTTACAATCTCCTCTTATACCCGTATCCATAGTACTGTACAGTAAGAATTCATATTAGGAAAAAAGATCCTAGACAATGCAAGGGTCTCTACTATATACTAAAAAAAAATTGTCAGGTTCATTATCAATTCCTAAAACAGAACAAAATGGGCAAGTACATATTAATATTTTCAATACCAGGGGTTAAAATAAAGAGTTCTCATTAACCAGAACACCATTTCTTGAGATTCATGATTTTAAAAGTTTCTGTTCTAACAAGATAGAAAGTATGAATGATATTGCTTTATTTTGACAACATGAAAAGTATGTTTTTCTTTTTAAATAAATTCCATATTTTCTTGATATTTTGAAAAATAAATTCTTGTTAAGAATTAGTCTGAATTTTACCATAGTTGGAATTTATAATTCCTAAGAATTAAATTTTTAATTATTTTTAAAGCTCTGTTCTTCTCTACACCTACAGAAAAATGAAAATTCACTGTATGGTATTTGGGAATCTATTTCACCTAGAAAGAAAGAATGTCCACATTTCAAATGGTTTTGAGTGAATAGAGATGTTTTATTTTTGCTTTTATGTATTTTTACTCAATCTGCAAAGTGTTTGAGGCAATCATGACACATATTTTCATTTCTAAATCTTCTTTTCAAAGAAGCCTAGTGACTACATTAACCTTATCGCAAACTGCTGTTGTGTGACGTTGGACAAATCGCTGCCTTTCTCAGTTTCTCATCTTTAGAATGAGGGATTGGGATTGCCAGTGGTTTTCAAGTTTTTCTTAACAGCAGGACTTTTTTCTACTAAAATTGCATATGGAATCCTGTTGGGTAAAACAGCTCAAAACAATGATGGAGTTCCTGCAGCACTTTAGATCTGGGCGCCCCAACCCCACCCCAGTAGGATTTAAACACTGTCATAACACACCAGCCACCTATAAAATTTCTCCCACCTCTGAAGTTCCAAGATTCGACTAGATCAGATAGATCCACTGTGGCGGCTTCATAAGAAAACTTGTACAATCACAGTAATTGACTGATAGATAATAAAAATTTACATTTACTTGAGTGCTTACCATATACCAGTCACTACAGATATTAGCTAATTTAATCCTCATAGCAACTGAAAAGTTAAGTACTCTTTGTGATTCCTGTTTCACAATTGATGACATTGAGGCTTAGAGTAATTAATTTCCCCCAAGTGACATAGCAGCGGGAAGTAACCCAGTTGTCTTGACTGCAGAGGGGGCCTCTGACCAGTTTTGCTTGTTCATTCTGGGAAATAAACTCTTCTATTTTATTTTACTATACATACATCATTTGAATCCTAAGGTTAACGGTGCTATGGAAAATTAGTATCAAAATAAGGATAATTCCAATAGCAAAATTGTTGGAAAAGGGTATGTTTCTCAGAGTATGACTTGTGGACCACTTGTATTAACATACATTTAAAAGGGCAATGATTTTGGTTCAGTCACCACTATCCCAGAACCTAGACGATAGCAGGAATCAACAAGTTTATATTGAATGAATAAATCTCTAGGGATGGAGTTTAGGAATGTGTATTTTGACAAGCACCCAAAATCTGAGAACCACTGCCCTAATAGACCTCTGAGGTCCTTCTTAGTTATGACATTATATCAAATTTTAAACATTAAATTGAAAGTTGACTATCATTTTTCTAGTGAGTTTATTTTTTCACTCAGTCCATTTAACTTTCTCCAATCTTAAAAAAAAAAAAAAAAGGATTCAGGGCTTTTTCTAGGAAAATCCCTATCTTTTCCTTAAAGTTCTCCTGTCATGCTATCTAGTCTCAAAGTGGCCTGAAATGCATTCTCTCGTTTTCGTATTTCTGTCCTTTTCGTCAATGTCTTAAAAGACCTAGAGAAGCAGTAGGCTGATTGCAAGCTGTCTCTCACTGCAAATACAAAGTCCCAATAAATGTCTTCCTCCTTGCAAGAGACACTCAGATGGATATGTAGATTGTGAGCTGGCCCTATTTATCTTGTAGACCTTTGAATTGGATGCTTTATAAGCATGGACCAGTGTCATTCTAGAAGAGTTGCACCAATCATTTTTATTTTTCCTTTATTTTGTTCATAATAATCACAGCTGTCAATTAAATTTGAATGACACAGTAAAATATATAGATACTACTAAGAAGATGACTTTGTTGAGTTTTGCTTTTTTTTTTTTAAGCTTTCTTTTTTCCTTACAGATTATGCATTCAGCAAAATCCCATTCAGTCTAAAAGTACTCATTTTGCCACATGGTTTTCTGACCAGCAATTTTTTTTAATGGAAGCAAAATTTTTTATGATATTAAAAGGAGGATGACCTCTAAATAAGTTAATATAAGTAAGAATGATGTTTCCTTGAAATAAGTCAAATTAAGTTGCTGATATGAATGTACAAATCGATCTGTGTTACACTGATTGAAGAAAGTGTTCTGATAACCCACCCCACCACTTTTAACTGTGTGCACTTCTGTTAGGAGGCTTTATTGGATTTTCCTGCTTCTTTTGTGTTTGGTTTTTTTTTTTTTTCCATTTGGCAAACAACATCTAAATGCGATTCCCTCACTCATGAATTAAACATGCTTGCCATTACATTACTTTTTGTGCATGGAATGTATGGAGGGAAAATGAGGTAGAAATCCAATATTTAAATCTCCAAATATTAACAAACAACAACAAAAGAAAACCCACTAGCTTTTCCCTGGGTCATTGCTTTGATGTTCTGTCATCTTCTGTAGGCTAAAGTTGCAATTTTAATATCTAATTCAAATTGAAAAATTCTTTTTGACAGAAAGTCAAATTTTAGGGTCTCTTGAGTTGACTGTGGTCGGATCTCCTGACTTCCCCTCATGTTTAATATTTGATCTCTATCCTAAATGAGTATTCTTGTGAGAGAAGGCACCTCCTTATTGACATTCACCATAAGTATAACAATTTATTCTCTAGGTATAACTTCTAAAGTTATTTTTCCTTGACTTATAGTATTTTTGATTGCCTCCTTCTATCCCTAGGGTGGTAGGTTGCTTATTCTAAATACACCTTTAACCTTATAAGAAAAGATGTTTCAATGAGAAGCAAATATATTTTTATGTGTCCCTTAATGCTTAAAAGAAAATAATTAAAGGATACTTCTGCATTCACCTATATTCCAGTATTTTCCAAATCGTGTCCAAGTCTACTGTTATTCACAAATGTTCACTGTGTCCTGAGAATATATGATCCTATGCCATAGTCCCCACTCCTCGGACATTTGATAATAAAGGTTAGTGTTTTAATGAAGCTTAAGAAAGTTATTAAATCACATAAACACTTTTTTTTTCCTAAACACACCTTGAAGAAACTTTAGAAAAGCTTTCCTGTAACACCAGCTTACATATCCTTCAAGAACCACAAATAATACAACCAGGAATATTTTGAAAGGATGCTTCTGGGTTCTTGTTTAACTTTAAGAAAAATTCCTGCCATTTCAAATGAATTAATATCATCTTAAATTTCATTAGTATATCTTAGTGAATTTAACTTTATCACCTAAAATATTAAAAATAAAACAACAATGTTGTTTTAATATTTTAATTTTTTAAGTATTATTTTTAAGGTCTGCTCCTATGACCAGCACATCACGCCACCATCTGTTGAAAACAATCCAAATTTTTTTACAGAATGAAATTTAAGAAATTGAATCATGATAGATGAACGCTGACCGCATTTTTACATAATCTTGTTAGAAACTATATGAAAAACATTTTTAAATGAGAGGGATATATTATTTAGCAAAGATTTTGCAGAACCCTACACTCTATTAATGAACATTTCACAGTTCTTTTTTGCTAGGCCTTATTCTGCAAATCAATTGTTTTTACACAAAATCAGCAAAATTCCTTTAAAAAAATTCCTGGACAAACTGATTCAGAGTAAAGCTGAATCACTTTACATTTCTCCAAATATAGCTCAATTTTTAATTCATTCAGAGGTTGTGAATTGGCTTGATAGATAAGCCATTTATCATTTTAAATATTCCATTGAATGAGTATATCATGCAAATGTTAATTCCATCTCATTTGTTCAGTTATATATTACTTCATTGACATTTTCTCTCCTTTTCTTATTTTTGACAAAACAAATGCTTAGTGTTATTCATACATGCATCATTACTTCAAACTATTTTAATAATACACCAAATGACTACCACTGGGATCACTGTCCCAAGGTCCAAAGTCAGATTTTTTTCTTTTCCTTGTGAGAGATGATAGGATGATAATTCTTATAGCTGTGTTGACTTTGCAGTTCTGTATTGAATTCTTGCTTTGTTCAGTGGAGGTGCATGAAAGAGATTGGCTCCTGTCTGATCCGTCTGTTTCTCTCTCAATCTAAGAGAGTTGGAAAATTGCTCCTGATTATTTTTTCTTGAAAAAGCCAAGTGTTGGTATATTTATGATGATATGCTAATCTTATCTCTGAGCAGAGTTCATTACAGGCCAAGCAGTCCTTTATGGAGCTGGCTTTTTTAACTGTTTGAATATTATTGGGTTTCAATATACAAATACTTTTTTTAAAATTTTTCACTTCGTGTAGAAAAAAAAAAACTCTATAAATGAAATGATCAAGTTTTAATTTTCATGCCTCCTAAGTGGCATTCATTTTTTTTTCTTACTTTAACATTCAGAGAAACTAGGAAAAGAATCCCAGAGAAATTTTGCTGTGTTTCTATAGGTAATAAAATTCCATCCGTTGTCTTTCTTAAGAAAAATGCTGTTAGTGTATCCTTTAATCTGACTTGGTGGTAGCCTTTATTCAGAACTCCCCATGATCTTTATAGCAACAGTAAACTGAATTTCTTCATGACCTTGTACGCAGTATATATAATTTCACAGAATTCCTTGAGCATAACATATTTATAAAAGAAATTGTGGGTTAAAATACTCACATATTTAAAATATTTTTTAAATCTAGTTAAAATGTTGATGCCTGGCTCTTTTTCCTACATGTGTAATTCAACAGAGAGTACTTTTATTCTCATAGCCGTTACTGCTTTGTCTATGATGAAAGGTTTATTGCTTCTGTGCTGTGCTCAAGAAAAAAACCAGCAAAAGAAGCAAGGGTTCACTGCTGCAAAGCTGTTGAGCAATGGTGACATGAATGTGTATAGTACTGACTTATGGAAGATAATCATGAGAACATTTTGACGTTACTTGCCTTATGAGTTAGAAAAGGTGTGGATATCATTTTTTTGTAAATAATGATTTTTACAAATGTTTTTTCCTTCATAATTTTCCCAATCACCCATTTCACAAAATCCTGAATATGCAATTATTTATCATGACACATTACTGCAACTAGGGTTCCCGTTTCAGAACAAACTTTAATTATACATGAGATCAAGATGAAATATCTAAAGTAAGTTGTTATTTAAATGTGATTTTTTTTCTGGAAAATAAATGAAAAATGTAAAAATAAACTGAGTTGTGAACCTCTTTTATCACCAGTCTCTTGAAATTTTACCCATATTTCTGGAAAATTTTACTGCATGTTTGGGGTGAGCAAAGTGGGCGAAAGGTTTGGCAGAGTGCAAGGGCTTTAGAGTCGGACAGATCCCAGCTCCGTGATTTAACTACAGACTTGAGCATGTTACTCAATGATTCTTCATCCTTATCTTTAAGAAAATGGAGTTACTATCCCCTTATCATATGGTCAATGAACAGATTAAATGAGATAATCTTTACCAATCATCTAATCATTCCTACCTACTAGGTAGTAGATATTCAATAAACAGTCCTTTCCTTTTCTTATTTTTCTGTGAATAGGGATTGGGATGGGGCCAGAACACTTTAATGCTCTTTCTCCAACTCTGTCCTAACTCTTAGTGGCTCTACTGTTATCCCAGCGTATTGTTCCTGTCAGCTAATGCTAACTGCACTGAGTACCCATCCAGGGACCAGAGCCAAGCTAGGGACTTAGAGGCATTGTTTTATTTCTAACTCGCGATTGCCCACTACATAAGGGTCCTTTCAAAGGGTTGGACTTACTTGCTTTGGGTTGGGGGAGGGGTCTTGGGGTTAATTATTAAGGAGGAAGGGCCTATTAGATATGTCAGGTAGGTCTTCGAGGCCAAACAGCCTCCATTTCAAAGCTTCTTAAACTTTAAGCGATTGGGAAGAGAGCTGTTAAGGAAGGTGAAGGAGCCCCGTTTGTATGCTTAGGAGATAATCCTGTGCGCGGCACGGGGCCCTGGGCGTATTATTTAATATCTCAGAATCTCAATTTTCTCTACTGTAAAGGGAGAACAACCCTTCCCTGACCGAGTTGTTGCGACAACTAAATAAAACGAAAACTGTTTGCCAGCATCTGGTAAATACAAGCTCTCAACAACTAGCCTTATGATCAGGCTTCTGTACCTTGGAGCAGGCTGGTGGGAAGTAGGGTCTGGGGTCCGGGAAAGGGACAGGAGCTCTACTTTCTCTTTGTGCCTCAGATTTCCTGTCCCAGGAAACCGCAGTACTTCCCACTCCTGGCCCTGACATTTAGGGGAAAGGAACTGGATGAGGGAACACGGGGCTGCGCCTTGAGTCCCCACGGCCTCCTCGCAGCAGGATGAACCGGTTCCCCCCCAGCTCCCGGCCACCCCAGGGCACAACCGGGCTCAGGGCGGCGCCCTCTGGGCAGGGACGATGAGATCCTTACATCCTTAGGGCGGCTCAGAGGACCACACAGCTACTGTGTCCGCTCCGGTGGGGAGGGGGGAGGAGGACTCTGTTTGAGGAGGTCACCCTGGAGACCAGGCGCAGAGCACAAGGGGAGTGAGTGAGCGGGCGGCCGCAGGCAGAGGGAGCCCCGGGAGGAGGGAGCCTTGCCCTGCGGCGCCCGCTCCCGCAGTGAGCGAGCGCGAGGTCCAGGAGGTCCCCGGCGGAGCCCCACGGCAACTCCAGCGCTGCTGAAGGTAAGTGCGCCCTCTCCGCAGCGGCGCGGGGTGGGAGCTGAGAAGAGGAAGACGCCGCAAGTTCCAGGGTTGCATGGGGCTGCGGAGGGAGGGCCCTGTGGTAGGAAATGGCCTGTCTGCCTGGGCCATGAGCTCCCTGACCCCCACGCCTCCTCCCCCCGACAAATAAGAAACAGTGGCCCCAAATTTGGGAACTGCTAGTAACTCCTGGCCTTTGGTAGCGACCCCCGCCCCCTACCACTCCCACCACCATCACCACCGCCACCGACTTGCTGCATGTCTGAGCTTAAGAGTGATGCCCAGCGCAGAGCTGGCCAGCTTGTTCTGCTCCTGGAGCAGCGTGAGTCCTGAGCAGTCTTCTGAGGCCAGACAACACTGGGCGACCGCACCCCTGGGGACCTCTAGGTTCCAGCTCTGGAAACCAGGGAGCAGACCAAGATCTATCTATGTCACTTTGGATCAGAACCTGAATGACCCACGTAATCAGGCTCAGTGTGTCCTACCACACACATAGACACACTCACGTAGACACTCACACTCATTATATATAGACATACACACAGACACTCATACACACAAGCACACACAGATACACACACACACTCACATTCACAGACCCTAATATACTCAAAAGCACACACACCAAGATGCACACATACATTCAGTACACATCACACACAAAGGCTGACACGCAAACACACACACAGGCACACACCCCTTTGGATGCACAGATAATCCATCATTCCTACACACAGGTGCACGCACGGGTACACAGAGGCCCACACTTATATCCATGTACACAGAGACTCATAACACACAGCCTCACGCACTCATGGGTCACACTCGTACCCACACAGGCCCCTACCCGCAGACACACACACACAAACACAGGGATGTGCACACTCATGTAGACACTCTCTCACATAGGCCCACAATCACACACAGGCACACACTCACACACACACTCCTCACTGCCTCCCTTCCAACACACAGTACCTCTGCCATCCTGTGTGCCCTCCAGAACCCTTTGCTTCTCTCCGCCCTGACACTGATCACACCGAGGTTTTAGATGGTGCCCTTGTCTGCCCCACCCACTCAACGCTGGCTCCTTGAAGGCAGGGACTTTTAGTTCTGTTTTAGTATCTAGCGCAGAACTTCCTTGTGCTCTCAGATTTACAGATTATAAAGTAATTTAAGGGAATATCTAAATTTGTATGTAGGCAACAGGGCAGTAGACTTACAGTCTAAATTCTGAGAAGTCTGTTGCTACTACCAGCTTTCTGGACAAGCATTTGGGAGAAGGAAGTAGGTTTTCTAATAAAATACTTTGTTACAGGTTAAGTTCTTTGTGCTCTTTACAAAGTAAGTCACTGTTGCTTGAAAAAAATACCCTTTGGGGAAGACAGTTTTAATTTTTCAAAGTAAAGCAGCAACAACAACAAATATTAATTAGCAAACTTTTATCAAGATTAATTTGGGGGGAGGGCAGTAAAAAATATTGCTTTCGGGTGTAGAATCCGTCTTTCTTCTACACAAGGCTATCTTTTCTCAGTGACTTAACCTCTTCTGCTATTAAGCATTTTGCCACAGCTTAACATCTGCTTATGTGAATTATACTATTGCATAGATAAAAGTCATCAGAGTTATCAATTATTCCAATTATACTGACCAGAATAACAACATCTCCTAAAAATCACTGTTAGGGAAACCATACTTCCCCATTCAAAAAATGGTAGAAGAATTATCTGTGTTTTTTAAACCAGAACGAGTCTCTGTGTTATATTCACTAAAATGTTTTTAGATCTTTCGTCTGCTATTTTATAGAAGTTGTTTTCCATAGGTTATGATGATGTCAGAAATTGCTAAAGACAGAATGGCACATTCAGTAAGGAAAAGGGGGAGTGTGTCTTCTTTAAGTGGTCGTGAATTCCGGCAGAAGGAACTTCACGGGAACACCAAAAAGTGAGTAACTGAATGTCTAATAACCTAAATTCAGTTATTGAATAACCAGCGCATAGTGCTTATTGGAAGAAAAAAAATGTCCTTTGGGACATAAAAAGGAAGAAAATGGGCAAGTACATTTTGGGTCATCTCTTGGGGCTATATTTTAAAAAAGAAAGGAAAAGAGAGTGAGAAAATCTAAGTGTTCTGTTGATTCCAGCAGCATTTTGTACTATTTCAAAGAGCACCCCCAAAAAATCATCTACCCAAATGAAATGCCATATGCAGTGTGGACCAGCTACTTCTTACACACCTCCTGAATTGTTTTACTCAGTATCACATAAATGCATAGATTTTGCATTTTATAATCTCTTTCTCTTTATATATAGGGTATATATATATATATATACATATTGCATTTAGCATTATTTTATACAAATTTTGTAATGTATTTTCAATAGTTTTCACCATTTCCTTTTAAATGGCTGCATTATATTTTGTCAGTTTATAATTCTGGGTTAGTTCCCATGCCCCAATTCTTGGGCATTTTCAGTTTGTTTCCACTTTTTTTCTTTTTCACTATATAATAAGTTTCTGCTTGTTTTCTTCCCAGAAATATAATTAGTGGGTTGAAGGGTAGGAAGTACATTTTTTTGGCTCTTGCTACATACTGCATTTGCTCCCTTAAAAAGATTAATTAATTTTTAATACTTGCATAGCATTTATTTTTGACTGCCATTGCGAAGAAAGCAAAACAAAATATCTGATGCAGAGGTTAATAAACTTATATAATAAGCTTTCCTTCTTAACAATTTCCACGACATTGAAGGATGTGAAGGATGGGCAGCTGGAGCTGGTATGTCCTATGGAGTGGAGACCAGAAAAACTGGAATAGATTTACATTATAATTCTGACACTAAATCTTTCTACTTTCTACTCTCAGAGTGTATTAATGTACTTAATTAAAATTTGACTTCCCAGCCCTGATGTTTGTGGATTACAAATACAACCTCTTTTACAGATAGGAAATGTAAAGGAGTAGCAATCCCAGCCAATGTCAGAACCAAAGCTGAGAGAAAAATTAATCTCTGCAACTTTTGCTTCTGAACTTAAGCCATTTTGGCCTCTATTTCCAATATTTAAGGGTAAAAGTTCTTTTTAAAATTATTTTAAAATAATTGTTAGCTTAAATTCAACTTTTTCCAAGAAAATATTTATAATAATAGTCTGACATAAATCATGTTTCCGTGATTAAAAAAAAAAAACTGCTCTCATCTAAAGACTCACTTGTCATTCCTATTTGCATCATTTTCATCTACATCTTCCCTTTCAAAGCAAATTAGAAAGTAATTTAGAATCAGAGAACATGGCCAAATTTGAATAATTAGAGAGCTCTCTTTTTTAATTGATGAAATATAAATACAAATTAAAAGTAACAAAAATACAGAAATCATGTTACCAACACATGAGGATAGATTTTTCACTGACAAATACATTTAAGTGATCATTTCATTGATTTATTTCAAAGTTAGAAATTTGGACTCTCAGAAATGAATCCTCTACTTGAAT